CATTCGAACACAAGATACTTAGCATAACAGATAAGTTGAGTAAAAACACATAATATAATAAATCAAGCACAATTGATGTGCACTATATATATACATTGTGAATGTTAAAGAATAAATTTTGTAATTGTTAACATACGCAAAACTCTAAACCTATCTTGTTCAATACTTTATCTTTTACATTTTGAAGTGCAAATTTAATAAGAAAATAACTACAACCAAAACAAGTTGACACTTTTTATTTAATAGATAATATAACTTACTCAGTTAAGTTAGTTTATCATCTGATTGATCATACATAATTTTTTATCATTCGAAAAACAGCAATATGAGTATAATTCTGACTACATATAAAAATTACTATTTCAATAACTTTAGAAATTCAAATGACAAAATGTCAATACTCTAGTAAATCAAAAGTCGAATAACAAAATAGATTAATATTAAGCAGATCCAATAATTACTCTTTAGTATAAATTTAAGACAATTCTAACTTTTAATATTTATTTAGGATAATTTGCCTCAAATGTGTGAAACTCTAATTCACTAGTTAATCCCACTGATTTTATTTGAGAATTCAACTTAACTACAATTAAATTAAATATAAATATACAATACTAATATTTTTTTCTTTTGAGGCCCCTAGAAATTGGGGGCCCTAGACAATTGTGTAGGCAAAATGCCTCCATGGTCGGTTTTGACCGGTTCTCATAAAATGAAAATCCGTACCAGATCGAATTGGTCCGAAGTATGATTTAAACATACATGTATATAATTGTGTGAATTTATGTTTTATACTTCTCAAATTAAGTAATGTAAACATACATCTCAGATTAATGTTTTATGATTTATGTTTAATACTACCATAATTTGTCTGTGTTTTATGATTTATGTTTAATACTACCATAATTTGTCTGAAGTTTATTAATTATGTAATATGAAAATTAATGTGAATTTTTTGAGGAGAACTGAACTTTAATTTCCCATTAAACAATTGAGGAAAGTGACATTGTTGATATTGACATGACATGATAACATCGCGTTTTACAAGGGAACCACACCAAAGGAATTTAGATCTAAAATCGAATCGAATTGGACTGTGTCCAGGGACAGAACCAGGACACTGAACCGATACAAAGAATATTTTTTTAAAAAAAAATCTGCACGAAATTTTTTACCTTAAAAATAAAGCTATTTTTTGAATTTTGGAGCTAGCCAGGACTTAACTTGACCCACCCCTAACTCCACCCATGACCGTGTCAGTAGTTATGGTGCGGTTACGGGTTCAACAAAATTGAATCGTCTTGGACCGAGCCCATCTAGACCCTGGTAACCTTCTGTATCTTGACGAAAAACAACTGGAGTGTTCGAGAGACGGAGAGAGCAATAGACGACGCATTGAATAAGAATAGGGGCCCACAGCTTTACTACGGAGTATATTTGAAATGATGTGGGCCCTACGCTGATTCTCCGTGGAGCGGAATTTCATGCCTTCGTGATCGTGGCTTCACAAGAAGAGTACTCCGTATAATTTACGCAGAACAAGTTTAGAAGGAATAATTTTGTCCAAAATGTTTCGGGTCAGTTTTTTAGTCTCATCAAATTAAAGGATTTTGAATGATAAATACGGACTAATTAGACGATACTTTTTGCAAAAAAGATGACACCCCATCCCTGAGGGCCCCCCAACACCGACCGGACGGCACGATGAGAGGATGTAAATTGGACTATAATCATAATCTGACAGATAGAGAGTAGGGCTCTGTCCCCGGTACTTGCAGAAGCCCTATGCATTTTTCAGCATAGTTGCCGGGATTCGAACCCGAGACCTAACCCTTGTGGCACTCCCTCGCTACCAGTTGAGCTACGCCCACCGGTTAGACGATACTTTTTGCACTTTTAAAATTAGTATACATTTTACTGTTTGAAATAATCATATTTTAATTGAGCAATCTTACTACTCTTAAGAGCTTCTCTCTAGGCGGTCGTCTCCCCTAGGATTAAAGATTGTTTTTCTCTGTTTTCGTCTTCAACGAAGTGCTTCTTTCTTGTGCGGTTTTCGTCATCCTTTCGTGAGACTCTCTTCTTCGGCAAACTGCAGCGCCTATATGGCGGCCAAAGGTTGTGTATCCCTAGCAGCATGTGAAGAGGTTCGATGGTGTTGTTCATGGTTGAGATCAGAAGGTCATGGATGAAGCGTGAGGCTAGGGGGCTGGAACAATTCTGGACCAGAGGCAAGGAGCGGAAGATGCTTCAATACTGTTGGACCGTCCCCCTCCTGAACCGCCGCCATGGAGTGCAGGAGAGTTTAGGGTTGGGAAGCAGTATTTTAATTTTATTGTTTGCTTCTTTATTTTCCATGATCAGATTGTTTATTTTTATGTTGGTAGTTTTTATTGTTGTAAGACTCTTGCATTAGGATTGAGTGATGAGAGATCTGCTTTAATCGTCGTTGGTTCATTTATGATTATAGGATCAGCGAGTTATATTGCTTTTTTGGATGTGATTGACTCTAAGTCTGATTCGAGGGCTGACGATTGACTGTGATCCTTTTGTCGTTTTACCCCCTGTTTGAATGTTGTGATATCAATTTAAACAATCAGTTTTGACGATCAAAAAAATTGAGCGATCTTACTATTAAATCATCAATCCCACTCCCCAAATTAAAAAATGTTCAATTTATACTCTTTAAGTTTTAATCCTTATCTTTATTTTTTCTTTATCCTCCCTCTTTCTCAATCACCCACATTGTGGTCAAAATATGCCGTTTGATATGTTCTTATAAATAGTATATTTGGTACAACTAGATGAAAAGATAATTTTATGAACTCTTTATTAACCGTTAACTTTTAGTGACTGAAAAGATCTTAAAAAGAAAATGTGGTAGCTGTTTGGTGAAAAACTGACTGTTTGATTTAGTTTTGTTTAGTATACAAACTGTTAGACCTAATTAGTACTAAAAGTCACAGACTTTTTTCAGATGCTACTCCCTGTAGCATCTCAAAAAAGATATTTTAATTTTCGAAAAACTCTTAAAAAATTGTCATGTCAAACATACAACTAGAAGCTTTTAGGTGTTTTAAACAGTACAAATGTTAGAAGGTAGAAACTTATGTTTGACAAACATGCACTAAGTATAAGACAAAGAGTGTATGAATAGAAAGAATAATACTACGTAGGAGATTAGAAGTAGAGAGATGAAGGTATAAAAAATTATTTAAATTTATTGAGTGGGTATTTATAAATCTTTTAGGCTCTTCTCCCCCAAACCCCTAAACTAGCTAGGGTTGGGCATATCAATTTTGGGTTCAGTTGCTATCGGTTTCGGTTCGGTTCGATTTGGAACGGGTTGGAAGAATTATTACCAAACAAAAACCATACTATTTTTCGGTTCGGTTTAGTTCGGTTTGGATTGGATTTGTTAATTTTTAATAATATATGAAGGTCTTTTTGAATTTTTTTAGTTCGGTTTTGTTTTGTTCGGTTTTTATCGATCTCGGTCCGGTTTAATACGGTTTGGAAGAAATAATATCAAACTCAAACCAAATTGCATATGATCCGGTTTCGGTATGATTTAGTTCGGTTTGGTATGATTCGGTTCGGTTAAACCAAACCGTTATGCACATCTCTAAAACTAGCCATTTGGAATTGTTGAAGGCTCCTCGATTAGTCGGCAAAACCCCCCAACAAAGCCATTGACCTTTGAGATCGGACTGAGCCTGAGATCGACCAACACCGGCCCTCAAAAAACACATTCGGGACCAAGTGATGTAATCCGAAGGAGGGGGCGATGGCCGGGATAGAAAAATCAATCTGGGGCAGGTCACAAAGAATATTACTTCTTTTGTTCTTTTTTAATTGCAACGGTCTACTTTTCACGTTCTCTATTAATATCTTTCATTCCTTATTAGTAAAAAAATTAAAATATTCATATTTTGAAAATTTAAAATGAGAAGAATTTGAAAATATTTTTTCAAAATTTAATTTATAATACATTATTAAATAAAATATAATCAAAGTACTCTCTCCGTCCCTAATAAAACTTTCAAATAGGTTTGACACACAGTTTAAGATAGTGGGTATTGTGTGGTGGAGAGTTGTGCAGAGGAGAGAAAAATGTGTAAGAATTACCGTGAACCACAAATTTTTTGCCAAAAAGGGAAAGTGGAAGTTTTAATTGAGACGGACAAAAAAGGAAAGTTGGAAGTTTATTTAGGGACGGAGGGAGTATAGTATATGAATAGTGCAAAAATAGAGTCTAGATAAAATTCCACTAATATTACTCTTTTAAGAGTTACGGACAAAAATGTGACTTAATAACTTTTAGTTACTATTATTATGTGCAAAGTTACTATGATGTAGTGACCAAACTTTGAACACAATTATAATAACTATAAGTTACCAAGTCATATTTTTGTCCATAACTTTTGTAGTTGTAATATTTTAGGAAAAATCTCAAAAGTGTAATGTTATATTACATCCGTCCCATTTATATTGGGACGGAAGAAGGTGACACGGTTATTAAGAAAAGTGAGTTTGTGTGGTTGATATTAATTGATAAACTAAGAATAAAGTAAGAATGATTTAGACCCACACAAACTTTGACAAATATGATATGAGACAATTTAAGTGGGACTTCCCGAAAAGGTAAAACGGGACAATATAAATGGGACGGAGGGAGTAATTAAAAAAGAATGGTGATAGTAGTAAATTACTCTATTACGTAATTAATTACTACATCCGCCCCCCTTAGTTTGAGACAAGAGAAGTTGACACGATTATTAATAAAAGTGGATTTATGTGGTTGATATTGAATTGCTAAAGTAAGAATAAAGTAAGAATGATTTAGAACCACACAAATTTTGCCAAATAAGGTATGAGACAATTTTAGTGAGACGGACCGAAAAGGTAAAATGAGACAATCATAATGGGACGGAGGGAGTAATTAATTAATTCAAATAATACCACAACCCCATGTTACCAAATGGATTGAGTGATGAATACGGAAAACTGCGTATAATCGTAAATTTTATGTGGCTAGGAGAACATCGAACCCACCACCGCCTCATTCCCCGCTCTTAAATATCCGGCCTGCTTTCCACATTCTATCACCTATACCGCAATCCGCAAGTCACCGAGCAAAGCTTCCGCCTGGTACGCATCTGAGGTTGGTGTTTCTCCCCCCCTTCTCAAATGATAGTTTTAATTAATTTTAGTTTCCGATCAATACACTTCTCTTATTATATTCTTCAGGTCCGATCTTTCTTTTGTTGATTGCGATAATAACAATGGTTTGTTGCCATTTAAACACATCTATGTATCTAATTTTGCGTTGGAAGGGTTCCCCCTTTCCAATTTCAATTCCTGGCGTCAAAATATATTTTAAATTGATTTGATCTGTTGAAATTGTATCATGATTTCATCGTAGCGTTCTGATTTGATTACGGATTAAAATTGTTTTAATGACACCAATACAATTAGATCTGCCGTAACGATCGGAATTTATAGGGTTGGGTTTTTCGGGGAAAGTTTATCTCATGGCGGTGTGTATGATATGATATATACGTGGGTTTGTGCAGAGATCGATCTGTGCTTCCCGATCGAAGCGAGAAAAGTAACTCAAAACAAAATTACATGGTTGATATCGTGGAGGCTCAGATCCCAACAGCTTTTGATCCCTTTGCGGAGGCCAAGGAGGATTCAGGCGCCCCTGGAGCGAAAGATTATGTGCATATACGAATCCAACAGAGGAATGGAAAGAAGAGCCTGACGACGGTGCAAGGGCTGAAAAAGGAATTCAGCTACAGCAAGATCCTCAAAGACCTCAAGAAAGAGTTCTGTTGCAACGGCACCATTGTGGAGGATACGGAGCTCGGCAAGGTCATCCAGCTCCAGGGCGATCAGCGCAAAAACGTCTCTCATTTCCTCGTCACTGCTGGACTCCTCAAGAAGGAGCAGATTAAGATCCATGGTTTTTAAGCCGCCATCCCTTTGCCAGACTGCTTGATTTTGTCGTCCTTGTTTTTGTGTGTAATATCGACAGATTGCATACCTGCTATTATATTACTTACTACTCGTATTGTAGCTGTTTACTTGTTTGTTTGAGTGATTCTGGCTGTGAGTTTGTGCTTTATCAACATTTCATGTCATGGAGGGGTACATTGTGAATTGGATTTGTAATCGCATGCTTTCTTCCTGTTCCAGTAATAAATGCGCCTTTCCTATGAGTCCTTTACTTCTTCTTTGCTCCCCTAATGTTTATCTATGCACACCCACGGGCCACGGCTGTAATGTTGCTGTCACCATTGAAGACAGTTGGATGCTGTGTACGCGGTAAAAGTTGTATATGAAGTTGCGACTTTTTTTTAAATAATATTTTGTCAATAACACAATTAAACGTTCTGACGGGAGGAAAAGACAACATTATTTATGTGACAGATACTTCTCTTTTTAGAACTTATATGGATTGTGTTTGATATGCTTATCATGTTTGATATGTTACAAATAAAAATTGTTTGTGCACACCTTTAGCACTTATAGAGTTGTCTGTATAACCTTTGTCAGACGGGTCCAAGTCCATAGCCACACAGAAATAGAGAGCATTCCTTCTTTCAATTTGTATTTCAAGTTCTCCCAAAATAGCTAAAGATTGTTTCCATGAGAACTGAATGAGTTCGAATAACTTGTACATCATTAATAAAACTCTTTTTCCAAAAAAAACAAACAGGCGCAACTGCACAAGAGTCAAGACAATGTATAATAATCATGAAAGAGATTGAGGTTTTATGTGCAAACTTATTATAGAGTTTTATGTTATAACAAAAACTGTTAGCAGTTTATGAATCAAAGAATATAAGCAAATGCATCAAGGACTCGCCATTGATGTTATGTGCCAAATGCTAGTGGAAGTGGGAATCAAAAGAATCATGTTTGATGAAACGCAACTGTAAACTATTCTTTGACACACATGAATTACGATCAAGTCATTACCGATTTACCGGTGGTCTTAAGTATGTCCATGAATGAATTGTAGAGACTATTGAAGGAAAGCATAGTCATATCAAAACAACTAAACCATTACTGGCTAATGGTAACAAAGTGAAAAGAATGAAATTGGGTACGCAACAACTAAAAGCAATCTCGATTCCAATTAGCCATATTTTAATGATTTTTATCATGCCACCCATATTGATTAGTGTAACATTGTAACAAAGCATTTATTTAGGCCTACAAGAATGCAAACCAGCTGAAAGGAAAGTCAAAAATTAAATATGCAGGGATATAGAGACTTGATGGTTCATACGTATCACAACATCAGTAATGATAATTCTAGAGCAGACACTGATATAGACACTGGGTAACATTTCGTTTCCCTGAATGTTCATCTTGATGAGACCACATTTCCATTTGCTCCTAAACTCTCCACACCATACCAGGTGGAACCGTGGCAAAATTATGGCAAACAAATGAGTTGTCATCAGAATTTTGGCAGATGCGCTAGCTAGAGCCTCCAACCACGCGGACATATAACCCGGGCCTCATGACAACAACACTAACTTCATGGAAGACACCTCCGCTCAATATAATGAATCAATGATGATGATGACGACACTATGGATAACCCAATTGATACCTCATGTCCTGAACGGCTTCTTCGATGGTCTGCCGAAGACCTCCTCAAGCAAAGAACCTCCTCAAGGAAGAGTGTTGTGAACAAAGAAACTCTCTGTTCGTCTTCAATACCCCACGGCCCTGCAACATCTCCATCATATGCTATGATTTATTCAAATATCATTTTAAGATATTTATACACTCATTTTATTTATATATTTCTATGATATAAAAACTACGAGATTCAAAATCTAGATACAATTGCAAAAAGATTTAGACAAATTTTATTTTCCAAGGTACAACAGAACATTCAAAGTTCTGTTCCTTGATGTTCTGTGTTTGAAACATAGTTTTACATTTTTTCTAGTTGTAATGCCTCATTGAAAAATTTCGTGTGTGTGATAAATTTCTTTAAGACAGATAAAAAGGCTGAGCCCCCCAGTTTCATTACAGAGTATATTCCTCATTTACTACAACAGTGCAACTATTTAGTTTTGCAATATATTGTCCCTTTTAATGGAATGCATAGATATTTTAGTTTCAAAACGTATTGTCCCCTTCTCATGAGTAGCTATATCCCATGTTTGCATTTTTTCAATGGAATGTATACCTATCTACGATCCTATGTTTTAGGATCTATAGATCCCCTTCCGATCCTATGCGTGGGATCTCACTTTTGACTACCATGGATAATTGGATATACATACATATATACAGGAAGGTATTGCTATGATTGATGATGGACACCACGATGGCAGATGACCATATTGGTTTCCCTGTATCACCCATCTGGTCCTATTCAGGAGCTGATTGAGCTTCAGGAACAACACATTTTTATATGAGTGCAAAAACTGTGTTAACCCCCATCTTCTTTCATCCAGCAAGTATGTACTACTAGTATGCAAGTGTGCTAAGATTATGAATTAGGCTGTTGCAGGATGTAAAATGTACAATATGTATTGCTGATTATTCTCTTCGGAAACAAATAAGGATGTGTGTAATTTACACTGAAAACATATATAATTACATCACATTACGCATTCCATTGCTAGCTACGAAGTATTTATCAAACATTGCACAAGGCTCTATCTTAATTGTTTCTGAATCTTCCATTGTAGTGTACCTTAGGAAGGAGCAAGATTCTTACTCCTGTTGTTGTGTCCATTCAGAACCAGGTTCGCACCAGGTCCGTGGTTTAACTCCGAGCTTGAAGAAGAGAATGAGTTCTAATGCCTCGAACACTTTGAGCTCATTCAGGAGCTCATTCCACACTCCACTAACAATACAGTAATTGTTATTATAGGGCGGGCGGTGGTGGTCCGCGTGCTGTGACCGGGAAACGAGTACTCCAGCATCTTGGAGCGCCACCACAATGGGCGGGAGTCTGCTTTTTGTGCCATGAGCCCAAGCGTGGAACTGCTGGCTGAACATGATGCAGCCCGAGCTGACTCCTACAAAGACGCTGAGAATCGGGTGGCCATCGCAGACCAGAAGGTCGATTGGCAGAACAATGAAGGTCACAGCCCTGGCCAGGGCGTGCAGATTATTGGCGAACTCCCGCCGCGTGATCGTCCACGGCCTTTGATGGTGCCCCTGGAACGCTTCGATTTGGTTTCCGAAAACCGGAGTGTCCGTGGAGCCGTAGTTGTCGACGGCCCAGTGGTAGACTCCGGAGCCGAGGTCCGCCAGAACGTAGCCGATGTATCCGGCGAAAAGCGGCTCGAGCCATGATGCATGCGAGGCGGCTGCGACCGCAACGCCTTTGGCCAGAGAGATGAGCACCGTGGTGCAGCCGCACGCCACCCAGGCTCGGTGGGACCATGTTGATTTCAAGCTGATGCCGGGCTCACGGAGCAACGTTTTAGTAGTGGTTGGCACCGTGGCTGTAGGGCGGCTGCAGGCCCGCAAAGAGAAGCTGGTCAAACGGCGGCAGGAGGACTTGCAGCGGCGAGTTTGTGGCAAGGATCCGACGTTCTGTTGAGGACATTGTTGATGGAAAGACAGAGGTGTGATCTGGAGAGAATTCGTTATCTGGACAGACTGATCGATAGATACATGTTAGGTCCAACTTGCCCGGTGACGTGTTTCAATTCCCCTCGTATATATTTATATGTTATTTGTTCTCTGTCTTTCTCATCTAACCTCACCATTTTAAGAAATGCGATAAATACACATCCCAAACTCGCCAGTCATTTGCGAGATGCCATCAGGTAAACTAGAGTAGTAGTTGTATGAGTAGTTTAACGGTTGTTGAGCGAGGGGTTGACGTGAGGTCTCAAGCTTCGAGCTTGGTAACTCTTTTATTCCGTTTACGTACAGGACGTGTTATAATAAGACAAAATAATGTTGAAATTATTTTTCTATTGACCGAATATAATGTGTAAAGTCATTTTAGCTATTTTTCATATTTTATTTTATTTTGTTTATTAGTAACAAATATTTTATAAACGTGGTACCGTCCAGGATTTTTACCAGGACCGGGTCAGACTAGGGCCATGTTATACCCTTGTTTTTATAATCTGCCGCATACTTATCAACATTTTCACGCCTCGTTCTTCATCTCCGCTGATACTTCTTTTCTCTGCCACGAGTCACACAACAGAAGCACGCCGGTTATGGCCCTAGTTTGCACACACTCAAACACTACATTGTTCTATCGATCTTGAAGAAAATTATCCAAAATATACGTCGTATTCAATTGTGTTTGAATAGATGATGTTTAAGCAGGTCAAAAGCTAGCAGGTACCACCTGTTCTAATCACAGCAAAAATTTTCAAAACATTCTAGGATACATGCATCCTATATAAAATCAGAGATTAGATGCATAGAGCTAACTAGTACTCTGTATATTTCAACCCATTTGCGGAATAAGGAACGAAGTCAAAGGGAAAGGGATCAATCGTGTCTATATTTCAATTGTGCTCCACGCTCATCAATATCCTTGCAAAAATTTATTCTTATATAATGTGCAGTATGTTTCCATGATTTATTTGACTGTCTTCCCGATTGAATTTTGAGCTGAAATTTGGTATGGATAAACTAGACTTGATGAGGAACAAACTCAAAAATTTCATCAAAAAATTTCATCGGGAAGACCCTCTGATGGGCTTGTCCGCACAAAGCTTCTCTTTAGGAGCTCCTGACAGGAACGAGACTCTATATATATATATATATTAAAGTATTAAGTATAAGTGTATTACTCATTTTATAGTAATATACTTATATATTATATACTATAAACATTATATTATATATTACTTATAATACTTTTACACATTATATAAACTATATAGACTTATACACATTCATACATTTTATAAAAATAGTTAATTGTTAGACTTCTCATTTGTCATTTAATATTAGTTAAACTAGTTAATTGTTACATTTGTCATATTAATATTAGTTAATTGCTACATTGCTCATTAAAGTAAAAAAAACTAGTTAATTTTTACATTTGTCATATTAATATTAGTTAAACTAGTTAATTGTTACATTTCTCATATTAATATTAGTTAATTGCTACATTGGTCATTAAAGTAAAAAACAAACTGTTAATTTTTACACTTGTCATATTAATATTAGTTAAACTAGTTAATTGTTACATTTCTCATATTAATATTAGTTAATTGCTAAATTTCTCATTAAAGTAAAAAAAACTAGTTAATTTTTACATTTGTCATATTAATATTAGTTAAACTAGTTAATTGTTACATTTCTCATATTAATATTAGTTAATTGCTAATTTGCTACATTGCTCATTAAAGTAAAAAAAAAAACTAGTTAATTTTTACATTTGTCATATTAATATTACTTAAACTAGTTAATTGTTACATTTCTCATATTAATATTAGTTAATTGCTACATTGCTCATTAAAGTAAAAAAAAAACTAGTTAATTTTTACATTTGTCATATTAATATTAGTTAAACTAGTTAATTGTTACATTTCTCATATTAATATTAGTTAATTGCTACATTTCTCATTAAAGTATTAATTAGAAGTAGTTCGATTTTTTTCAAGGAAAACAAATTGTTACATTTGATATACTCATATTTTAGTTCGAATTTGCTATAGTTTTCTTAGTCACATTTTATTATTACTATTGTACTCATATAAAATATTTGATATCATTTAATATTTGTTCAGTTTTAAAGATGGATCGTGGTAGACATTCTGTAGATATGGGTAATCTCCAACGCAACCGCAAGAGGGAGATTGCGGTGAATCGTCCTACTTCACGCAAAGGCAAAGGTAAAGCGCGGGCCGAGTCTTCTTTTCAAAGTCGAGATGATTTTAAAACGGATTACCAACGAAGAGATGATTTTAAAACGGATTACCAACGATGTCCGACGAGCAACTACAAAACCTATTGTCCCAAAATGATACACGCTTTGCACAAGAACAACAATTCCCGACAACCATTGATGAAGAGGAGCTCGAGGATGACGATGCAGAGGAGGACGAGGGGAGCGACGGGACTCACGGCACCCCGGATGATGAGCAAGAGTTGGAGGACGAGGGCGGTTCATCCCAAATTGGTAAGAAATCTAAATCTCCTATTATTGAAAACAATTTTACAAAAAGGAAAGACAAAAATACCGATAAATGGTACGCAAGTTGCAATCATTGCAACAAAGAGTATAGCTTGGGAACTTCTAGCGGATACGGGAGTCTGACAAGGCATCTTAAGTCCGCCCACTTTGTAGAGTATGCGAAAATAGACAAAGGCAAGGGGAAGCAAACACAAATATCGAGGTTTGCGAATTCTCAACCCTTTGGTAATTTCTCCTATGTTGAAGAAAATTTACCCTATATTTTTTCCGAAAGTCTTGCTTTAAGAGATTATGCTCAAGGTACTTTAAATCCTCAATTTAGAAATTATAGTCGCAAAACGATTAAAAAAGAAGTTATAAGGCAATATAACTTGGAAAAGGAAAAATTACATCTTTGGGTGGGGGGCAGGGGGGTCCCGGGGGTGGTGGTGTGGGGAGTGGGGTTCAAAAAAATCTATAAATACATCTATTTTCTACTATTTTTCTACACCTCTTCTCCAACTCTTCTCCATCTTCATCTTCTCTTATTATCCTACATTCCTACTTATACATCTACCATTTTAAAGATGGAAAGTAATTCTTCTCTTATGCAAAACAATTTTGATAAATGGAAGGACCCGAAGACCGGACTATGGTGGGCAACTTGCAAGTGGTGCAATAAAGAGTGTTGCTTGGGGCGTTCACACGGAGTTGGGATGACAATAAAACATATGAAGTCATGGGACAAAGGCAAAACAACAACCAACGGTGGCGGAAATCCCAATTGATATTTATTAGAAAATGTATTTCGTATTGTTACTCCCTCTATTCTTTTTTATTAGTCTCCTTAGGCTTTGGCACGGGTTTTAAGAGTAAAGTAGTAGTGGTAGTGTAAAAAGGTGTAATGAGTAGTGGGTAAATGAAAAAGTAGGAAAGAAAAAGGGGTAATGGTAATAAAAGTGGGGGTATAAAGGTATATTTAAACTAAAAACTTTCCTTAAATGGAAAGGAGGACAGATAAAAAAAAAACGTCCCAAAAAGGAAAGAAGGACTAATAATAAAGAACGGAGGGAGTATTTTTTTCTCAATTCTCAAATGTACTTCCTATTTCAAATAAATGCACTTGAATTTTGTTTTTAATAAGAATTTGTATAATATATAATTAAAAAAGGCCCGGCACGGCAGGTGGCCCGACCCGTGACCCGGGCAGGTGACCCGGCCCGAACTGGACCCGGGGGTTAACCGGGCCGGTTCCAAGCCTCCCCTTTCCTGAACCGAGGCCCGGTCGGTCCTAGGCCCGGCCCGGATCCATCCCTACATATCCCGCCCTATGAATACACGATTCAAGCCTGCACAGTGCCAGGACGGGTCCCAGGTCGGGCTAACTCATCCCAGTCCACCCCTAGCATGGGGGGCTATGGAGACATGAAGTCAATATTTTTATTTTTACATTATGATGTATGCAACTATTTGTTCATTGTGAAGTACATTTAGTAAGATGAAAGCCTTTCAATTAGTGGTGGACTCGGGTCGGGTGGACCGGCTAGTGACCGGTCCGGTAGGCCCGACCCGAGGGGTTCCCGGTCCGGGCTCGGGTCACCCAAAACATGAATCGACCCGACCAGTCCGGGCTCGGTTCCGGGCTCTTTTGTTTTTCAATTTTTTTAAATCCCCGGGTTGGGCTGGATTTTTTGGGCCATTTGGGGTGGTTTGGGGGGGGGGGGGTTGGGGTAATTAGAAAAAGGAATAAAAATGTAAGAGGCCTGAGGCCCTGCCCGGACCCGGTGGCTACCCGGGCCGGTCCCGGGCCCAACATTTCCTAACCAGCAACCCGGTCAAGCCTAGGCCCAGCCTGGGCCCAAACCGGCCCGAGGCCACCACTACTTTCAATTAAAGGTAATAATTTAAAGGTACTTCGGTCTACAAAATTTGAAAGCAACAAGTTGAACGAGTCAACGAGTGTATTGCTGCTGGAGTTTGGACCCTACTTTCATGGCATACTGGTGTGATATTTCACCCTACCATAAAGCACATCTATATATATTTTATAATTAATAATTATATATCATTCAAATAAGGTAAATATACACACTAAAATGTAGAATAGACACAAAAACACTGGTACAAGCAGAATTCAACAACGCTGGTTCATATTGCTCAAGTACACACTCGCAGACTCGCAGTCTTGAATTTCAACATGGAAAAGAGAAAGGGAGTGGGGGTGATAAAAAGGAAGAACAATAACATGTCAAGCACTCCAGTAAACCAAACTTGAAACTTCAACATAACTGGTGAAGTGGTGTTAAGTCCAGCCTAAATCATGTAGCAGCAGATCACTGCAAAAGTGAAATACGTAGCAACAGTTAACAGCAGATCATGTATACTTATAATGTATATTTGTATCAACTTAGTTTTTTTAGCAACTCTCTTGGTTTCTGTATGCGTGAATTGAAATGAAGAGATTAATTCAATAAAGGCTAAAGGATCAAATAGGCCCTTGTACCAGTCGTGTAAGCTCAATACAGTCTCAACTAAAAAAAGGTCTAATTCACACCTCGAACCGGTAAACAATTATTCAAATTTCATTTTATACGGGTAATCAACCGGTCAACCGCCACATCACCCGTCTAATTGCCAACAGTGCATATGAAGTTGAAACAAAAAGCTCAAATAAGTCCCTCAACTTGTTTGACTTGTTCAATTAACCCCCTTAACTCTAAAAATGGTTCAATATTTGGATAAATTAAAAAAAATAAGAAAATAAATATAATATATAAAAATAAAGATAAAAAAAGGTTCAACAAAGCTTTATTTATTATTTTTAATTTTATATACATTTTATATTTTGTATGTATTTTCTAATATGTTATATTATACGTAGTATTAAACATTTAGGTTTAAAAACTGCTCAGAGTTAGGATGAAAATAACGACATTCTTATTTGAGAACATTTGCTATGTGGGTATGTTCTGTTCCTACTTAGGGAATTTTCCTTTTGAGTTTTAGTTTTGTTCTTGCATTTATATTTTATACGGAGTACTCCGTATTTTAATAGATTTCTAACATCTTTTCCTAATGATAGATAAAAAAAATCATATTTATTATTAAGTTATACAAAATGTTTCCAGTTTGAACTTTCATATTTTTCATTCTATAACTTTTTTTGAAGTATTATATATTCCTATTCTATATTTCATATGTTTTAATTCAAAACCTACAAAATGATAAAATATAATATTATAGCATAATATAAAACAATAAAATAAAAATGAAATCTTAAATAAAATATTGACGCAAAAACATAAATATAAAGTATGAATACAAAGTCCAAATTAAACTTATGTGTCATATTTATATTTTTTATTTTTTTATATTTATATATTTTATTTTTAATTTATTACTTTTTCTATTTACTCTTTCAATTTATTACAGTTTTGAAAATTTCTTGGAATAACAAAACATGGTTGCCTGTATGATGATATATACCTGGCGGGGTTGTTGATAGTTTGAAAATCCAGGGTAATTTCCATAGAACATGTTAGGGTCTTGAGGAGGTGGAGCATATCCATAAGCTTCATACCCTTGCCCATATCCATAATAGGAACCGCCAAATTTTGTCTGCTCTGATGACTACAGAGAGAAAGAAAACTCGAGATAAAAGAAACAAAATGTAGACAACCTCTCCACACTTAGGGAGAAGGCAGTTGTTTACCTGTTTATTAGAAGGACTACGTCCCCATGAAAGTCGAATGCTATGATCCCCTAACACTGTGCCCTGCAAACTTGATTGAGCCTGCTCCGCAGAAGCCCTGCACAGAAGACACACAAGAAGTACATGAGATACAAGATCTTGCAAAAACATAAGGGTCAATTCAGAAATTAAAAAGACTCGGGAAAGATAGCAGAAAATAAATTTGGAGGGGAAAAATGATTGATGCTCACTCAACACATCAATATATATATATATATATATATATATATATATATATATATATATATATATATATATCCAAACTCAATATTAGAAAATTTTCTTGTTTATAAAAGCAAAGGATAAAGGATCAAATTTGATTCTTTCATCCTACTTTCCAGGGGCAAAACAAAACATTGAAAAAACTATTATCCTTTTTCATATTTTCAGACAACATTCCTTTTTCAGGCCTAAATTAAGGTCTTTTTCAGTTTTGATTCCCAACTTTGATCTATTTTAATTTTAGAGGGCGACTATGGATTTTTTGCCACTTTCAGTTCTCTATTCTCTTATCTGGCAATAATCAAACCAAAGATTTCCAAGTAAATTGGCAGAATAGGTGTTTGGGACAACTAACGATGAAAAGAAATCCAATCACACACCCAATACGCAAAATGGAAAATTTGAGAACTATAATCAAAATAAACTAAATAGTGCAGAGACCAATGGTGTAATTATCCTGTTTTTCCTTTATCAATATTTTCTGAGTACCAAACCTAGCAAAAAAATTAATATGAAAACTGCATCATTATTACCTGGTAGCAAATTGAACAAATCCACAACGCTTTCCAGCAACTATCTTAATGTGAATCAGTTCACCATACTGGGAAAAAACTTGCCTCAAAAGGTCCTCAGTAACATTGGGATCCAATCCACCAACAAATATCTGTGCATTATAATGCCTGTTAAGCAGAGTACATTTGACAAAAGAAACACTAAGAAAAGCTACCCACTGTTGTATTATTGGGGTCACTCTCGCCTTGACTTGCAGGAGGGTTTTGATATGAGACTGCAATCAGAAGAGAAAAGAAGATAATACCAGGATTTGAAAAACAGAATAGTAGTGTTACAAGGATCAAAATCAACTATAATCTGGAAAAAAACCACATTAACTTTTAACATCTAATAACTGAAAACAAATGCGGGAATCTGAAATAGTAGTAACAAATGGCATAAGAAAGCAACATATATTGAGAAGAGTGATGTAACAAAAATGCAGCACATAGAAGAGTAAATAACAATGTTTAAGAAAATGAGCCCAGACCACAAAAGATATGGCAGAAGTTTCACAGAGATTATCATAACAACAGCAAAATCCTAAATCAATGGAGTCGGTTTCCTTTTGTACAGCAAACATATATATTCATGTTAGTCACAACTGCTATGAATGTACTTTTAACAATGCAGTTATCATCAATTTAAAGTTGCTACTTTCCACCCTTACCAAACAAGGGGCAACAAATGACATATCCAATCAAACTTGTCAAAAACATGCTTAGGAGACAAAGCGCAAGCAATAGACACCTATGAGTTCGGCTTTTGCAGAAGGCAGATGCTTGAGAAAGCAACACTTTTTCCTCACTTTGGTCTTGGCAAAGACACTTTCCAGAATTATTGCATCAGACCTCTTCAATTGCTAAATCTCTTCTTGCTTTGATCAATCCATGTAAAGTCAATCTAAACTTCATCTTCTTCCTTGACTTATTACTTGATCTATATTCTATTTTCTACTACTTGATCTATCCATGACGACCTTATTTTTTTCCCAATTTCTTTTGTTATTATTCTGTGCATACAATGCGGTCTTTGTTGTGATATTCTATTTGAACGAATTAAAACTGCTCAAAATGTCCCAAAAGATCATATCATTTTGAGAGATTTAAATAAGTGAAACATACACAATGCATTTATTAGTCTGGGTCATATCCCTTTTTCTCGATTTATTGTTTTTAACTCCATTGTCCTATAACGATTCATGCTACCTGACTTCAAACTCTTTCAGGATTAAGGCTCGGATGTTGTTGTTGTTATCATATCCTATATTATTCTAAGAATGTATTTGCCTATGAATTTCTCCTTAATAATAAAAATACAACTTTAAAAATCAATTCCTTTTGCTGTCTTGCTCAAAAACACCCAGTCTTGTATGAATAAGAAAATGAGTTGAGCACAAGATACTTATCAAGAAAAGTGAACCATCTTTGGAGTCACAAAGAGAGAAAAACAGATGAGAAGTTACGACAACATTCAAGACTTGTTCCCAAAATATTTTGAGGTCAGATAACATGAATCGATCTGTGATATCGCCGCAAAAAAGAGAAGTTATTAGAACATGGGAGATGGGGACGAGAAATTTATCAAAGAAAAAAGTAATAAAGAAAGAAAAAAGATAGTCATAATGGTTTGGTGTTTGTCTTTGTCCTTGATATTATTAAAATGCAAGGCATATGCATACATATGTGTGTATTGTGTATAAGCCATTTAATGCAGCAGACTTATTTGCACTAAATATAACTATTTTCTTTATTACGCAAACGTTGCTTTGTGTGTGAAAGCAACACTTCACTTGGCCATTTTCTATTTATTTTACTTTAAAGCAAAGCCAAACCTGTCGCTTTAGAGCACTTTTTCCTTTGAAAAAGTTTGAATCAAACATAATCAACCCCAACACAACATAGGGCACAACAGAGTTCTAGGGTTCTCAATAAAATGGACAATCATTGGCAGTTCTCTAACTTCCATAAAAGGGTACAAGTCTAAATATGGCGAGCCCATAGTAACCATTTGTTTCACTTTAAACTCTGTTCATCAATTCCTAATGACCAACGAGCAAACTTAAAAACTTAACATGTCCCATAAGCTGAAACTTAGAAAAACAAAATGAAAAACCGAGCAGCTTGCTTCAGCAATATTTAACAAGAGAAAACGATTCACTCTATGAATACGAAAAGTAACGGAGAAATGAAATGTAAGGATTTAAGAACTGGAAAGAGTAAGAAGGAAATTTAATGCTTGACAATCCTGAAATTAAATTCTAATTGGGTGTGTAATTCAAAAGGAACTGGAGAGCAACTTGGTGTAGCTTAAGAAATGCCACAAGAAATTGAAGGAAGCTAACGGCATAAAACAAATTAACTGACCTAAAATGAGGCCACGCACTAAATGGTATTCATTTCAGCTGAAATCAGTTCCAGGCCCCCATATACGAGAGCCTCTCTGTTTCCTGCTTTGAGACAACATGACTTTTATAAGTTTGAGCAAGTTTTGAGATAACTTAAAGCTGCCCAAGTTTAGAAAGGAAAGAATGGAAAGAAATGACTTCGTAAATTCTGCGAATCTCCAAGTGTATGACTGAAAGCGCAATTAACTTAAAGCTCTATAAATATAAACTCAAATTCGATCTTCAAGAAGAAAGTCCTCACTGCTACAACAAGAGCTAATTTAAGCATTATTAGAACACACAGACCAATTTGGGCAAACTGACATGAACAAAAAGAATAAAGAATGGAGGGCTAATATTTCTTTGATATACAATCACTCAATCAGGCATATTAATATTCGAGTGCCATAGGAAGTAAAGAACCTACCTTTCTGTGGCGCACCAACAGGTTGTTTATTAGCAGCAGGACCAACTCTCATGGGCCTAGTTGAGCAAAGCACTCCATTCATCTCAGTGAGGGCTCGAACTTGTTCACTCTCATCCCCAAATTTGACAAATCCATAACCCTTGGACCGTCCAGTGGTCTTATCAGTAACAACTTTGGCACCTCTCACAGATGAGTAGACAGCTTTAAATGTTTCTTGTAGTAAATAATCATTCACGTCTGCAGCCAAATCTCCAACAAAAATGGTATGTTCAAGCGAGCTGTCCCGCCTCTCGCCGGCTCCAAGGGATGCCCAATTCAGCCTGAAACTTTGGTCTGTGTTTGGCATCAAACATCCATTATATGTTTGTAAGATGGCCTCAGCTGCTGCACGGCTCCTGAACTCAATGAAACCATAGCCCTCTGATTGAGCAGTAAGTTTATTGCGGATGACCTTCACAGAAGTAATCTGAAACCAGAAACGGGCAGGTTTGATATATTCTTAAAAATATAAACTTTATCCCCAATCACCAAATAGTTATATAGGCGATACAAAAACAAAAACAAAACATTAATTTGACTCTTCCATTAACATAAAAAGAAAAACTTATTCACCTGAAAAAACAAAGCACACTCACTAAAAACTAAATTTTGACAATTATCAGAGCATCGGAATTTAACAAATAGTAATATAAAATACAATACAAAAAGGAAACATCAATAAAATAGGAATGAGATCCACCTCTGCAGTATGAGCGAAGCAACCACTGAGATAACTTTCATCCATCCAGTGCTGCAAATCCCCGATCCAGAGAGACTTCACTTCGGTGGGGCTGGACGATGGCACGGAAGCTGTGCCGGGGTACGCAGCCGCATACGGTTGCGGCGTCTGGGTTAGATACGGAGCAGGCACTGTGTGCGACATAGGCGGCGGCGGTTGAGTCCAGGCGGGCGTATGCTGTGGCTGCTGAGGATGCATCATCCACTGCTGAGGTAGCTGTTGGTACTGCGACTGTGGCTGTTGCTGCGACGGATCTGCAGACATCGGAGCCAATTGTGGAGGGACCATGCCGCCTTGATGCATCATCTTCGAAGTGGAACCCGAAAATCGGCCTTAACCCTAGGATTGATGGAAAAGAGTTCGGGGCCAATGGAGGAAACAACGGGTAAGGTTTTCGTCGCAGCTGATTTATGGAGTATGTGATTATTGTGATTCCGGTCTGATTTTGTGGAGTGGTGGGCTGGAGTAAAAGAACCGAGAGGCCCGTATTGTTCCAGCATTGGTAATTGGTTTTTCTTATGGGTAACTTTGGCTTTTGCATCTCATTTGTATTTTAAAACTTGTTTTAATTAGAAATAATCACACTTATATGACCAAAATAAGAGTTGTTTACAAAATTGTGACCTTGCAAGTTAAATAATTTAGTCATCGTAATTTTTGTTTAATTGAAGGGTTATCCATCAGTTAAATGTCAAAAATGTATTTATTCGTGATTTTCTCACTCATGAGTTTACATGAAGCAATCATCATGGTCTATTCATTCTTCATACCTGATTCAAATTTATCACCTTAGTAAAGTTTTATAGTCTTAGATGAACTTCGACGGCCTAGTTTCACTATTTAGTGGCTTTCTTCTTCGTCATGTTTGTTTTCGGATGAAGTTTGATTCGTCCATGTTTATTTATCATCGTTCGTCCCAAATTTTCTATATTTTTTTTTATGTTGATGATATCCTTATCATGGGCAGCTCTACATTTAATGTCACGACCTTCATTCATACGCTATATAAGTTTTTTTAGGGACAGTCTAAACAATCTAGATACAAGGCGAAATATAAGTTTTTGTTGAGTCTAGTATAAATAACCTACAAATTTTTGATCAACTAAGGCAAAATATTGTGTCGTTACTTAGCTTGTTCAAGACACTGTTTATTTGCTTTATGCTCCGCGATATAAGTTTTTTTTTTTATTTACATCCATGTTTGCGTTATTAATTTATTGTTTGACAGTGGTTCTACTTCCTACATGTTTGTCGATTCCATTCAAGATGATCGCAATAACCATATTAAAATTGGTTGTCATTTTGTTCGTGAAAGAGTTGCTTACAGTGATCTGATAAATATATTCCTACTAATTTTCAATTCGCTAACATTTTTACTAAAAATCATTGTAGTCATCATTTTGAGTTTTTGAGGTCCAGTTTTTGCATGTGATTTTCCATGTACAAATTGAAAGGATGTAATAGAACATTTGTAACAGGACCTTCGTGTAATTTCTATTTGATGGATCTTCGACCTCGGGGTAGGCGAAATCCAGGAAAATAGAGAGGCTGACAAGTGCTAAATAAGATCGAGTAGAAATTTTGGTAGAGTAACAACAAGTTCGCACTAAAATGTGGATCGAATCCCTTTCCACATGTTGAAAGCTCATATTAATACTAAGGAGAAAATACTTGACCAACAAGTAAAAATGTTATTCATTGTGGTGAGAACATGTGTATAACTTGGCTAACAAGAATAAATGCATTAGTCTAATAGTGTGGCGACACATGTAAAGTTGATTGGAGAGGTATCTTGGACAACTGGCCGATTGGTACTGTGTGTAACAGAATTGTCCTTTGTGTACCAGAACGCATGTGTGTGTCACACGTGTGCTATCTGGAATATTCGGTGTAGTAACCATCACGATGATGTGGCCTTGTACAGTTGATGCGTTGGTGACATGGATGCAGCTTTGTGTGGTACTAGATTCTCGAAACGTCTAGATTCATAAGTGATTGGTGAGGTCCCCAGCTCAATAGGTGAGATTGGGCTCGGTCACAACCTGTCTTATCACGAAGGGAATGACCTCGGTTCATGACTGTATGCCCGGTGAAGGCGATCTCTTCGTTCCATTGACTTTCTAGAGGTGCCAATTTATTTTGAGCCCCTGCACGACGTCAGACAACCTCGATGAGGGTCGACCTCAGCCTCGAATGCAGTTCCGGTCTTATCTCGATAATATGGGAGTCGAATGTTCGTACCGACCTCGGGTGGGTCAGGGTCGGCCTCGGCGAAGTAATGACTTGGTGTTCCCAGAGACTTCTTTGTTCGTGAATGTTGATACCCCTGGGGTATATGAGAATATACTCCATCATGAGTCCCCCACTCTCTGAGGCGAAAGTTACACTTGAGGTGATAGAGAGTGATTCTTCGACCTCTGGGTTGGTGCGCCCGGTGAGGGCACTTTCTCTCCATGCTCTCCCTGGCCACAACTGTAACACCCCGGCCCCGCAGGACCCGAGGTAGTTACTTCGGACCTCTAGTATTGTCCTCACAAACCGCCACTAGTCTTTACCACGCACTTTGTCCTCACTCATGCGCGCCCAGAGAAACTTCCTAGGGGTCAGCCATCCCAAGACTACTCCCGTGCAAGCACGCTTAACTTTGGAGTTCTTGGGTGATGAGCTCCCTTAAAAGGAGATGCACCTCTGTTGGTATGAGTAGTACTATTAATCCATTTATATTAAATCTCAAGTGTTACAACAACCAAGGACTGCGTCGTTAAAAACTATGTTGAAGAAAAAATCATGCGGGAAAAAATCCTAACAAAGGAAAAAGAGTACACTCCGCTCTGAGGTGAATTCCAGAGAGGAAGGCGGTGCCCCGCTACAAAGGAGGTGAGCTCATCTCCATGCTCTATGGTTAGCGGTAAGTTTGGTTTCCTGTACCTACAAGTTAGTTGCTACATACAGGTCTCAGCCTAGGGTTGATACAAGATTTTCAAAATTTAAAGTATAATTGACGAGCTCAGTATGAGTTATACCTGATTGGAGTGGTAATCCGAGGTTGTTGCTGTATTTTGGGTTGATGTTGAATCCTTTGGCTATTTTAGTCGTTTGGCTTTTGCGCGAGTCCCCCACTTACCAGTCTCCCACTCTTATGGACTTAGGAAAATTTCTAGGGTGTAGAAGAGTATGAGCTTGACAGGGACGAGGTAGTGTTTATAGAGCTTGGGGGACTTTGGAGAATTTAGAGTCTGCATTTTGAAAAAATGTTGTTGCGTGTAGTAACAACGATGTGTCCAATTGGAATTTATAAATATTTCTTTTGCATTTTTTAATTTATCAGCCGTTTTTATCATTAAGACAAGGGTGAAAGGACATTATAGTGCAATTATTGCGCTTTTGCACGCCAATTTGGAGAGAAAGTGTACTGTTTCTTGGGCGGTTATTTCCTAGCCAGACACTTGTCTGCTTCCCACCCACTTTCGTTGGAAGTATAAAAGGTGAAAGACATTCTCTTTCTTCCTTTGTGCTCTCAAACGTTCTTGCCTTCAAACTTCCATTGCTCACAAGTTTTCCAGGTTCTTCGAGTTTCACTTCGGCCAAGGTCGTAGCTTTTTTACTTCGACGCTCGCTCTTTTTCACAGGTTAGACCTCGGGTCATTATTCTGTATTCTTTATTCATTGTTTGCTCGTCGGAAAACCCAGAAATGGGGCTTTTCTGTCGTTCTTGTGTTTTAGGCGTTGGGCTAACCCTAGCGCCGCAATGGGGTCATGAATGGTGCCCCTAGACTCGGAATCGCACAAGGATGCTGATTTTCGACCTTTGATCTTTTATTTGAGCCCGAATTATGGTCCATTAGCCTCAAACTCTTACATGTGTATTATGTTGTTGTTTCTGCAGATTTGAAGAATGGTTTCCCAGTCTGATTCCGCTAATACTGGCGAGAGGGGTCAACCCTTACCTCCCCATAGGGTACGATGATGCCGAGGCCAACAGGGAGACTGACATCGATGAGGAGGCTGATGATGTCGCCTCTGCGCTTGATGTTGCTCTTATATGTACTGTCCAAGGCAACAAAAGGGCGGAGGAGAAGAGATATGGACCAACCTCAGGTGGGCGGAGGTTGACCGCAACGAAATAATGACTTGGTGTTCCCGGAGACTTCTTAGTTCGTGAATGTTGGTACCCCCGTCCGGCCTCCACTGTTTGGGGCGGTTCCCAGTGGTATTTTTTGCTCAAATTTTTTGTTCATTTTCTTCATCAAGTCTAGTTAGTTTATCAATACCAAATTTCATCTAAAAATTCAATCGGGAAGGCAGTCAAATGATTTTTGGAAGTTAACAGCGTTTTATATGTATATAAAGTGCATAGTTCACTTCCAAAAATCATTTGACTGCCTTACCGATTGAATGTTTTGCTAAAATTTGGTATGGATAAAGTAGACTTGATGAAGAACATGCACAAAAAATTTGAGAAAAAAATACCACCGGGAACCACCCCAAAAGGAGGAGGCCGGACGGCGCTTCGGTCAGGAATTTCCTGACCGGAAGATTACTCTATATATATATATATATGTGTGTGTGTGTGTGTGTGTGTGTGTGTGTGTGTGTGTGTGTGTGTGTGTGGATCGTTGCGCTTACCGCTACACTAAAAGCAATCGCTGATAGTGTAGCACGCTCCTCCCCATTTATAGCACATGCGAAATGCCACGTGGTTCGATTGCACCGGCAGACTGGCAGATTGCTGACACCGCATACCCGCGGCCCAACAATATATATATATATATATATATATATATATATATATATATATATATGGAAGAGTTCAAATAAAAAGTGGTCTTCCCGTGCAAAGTGCGAAATTTTCACTTTTGCACGTTTCGCTTGCACTTTTCTAGCTTTCTGTTGCACTTTTTCACTATTGCGATATTGGCCAAATTCCTCCAAAATGACGGTGGCAGTTTTGTAAATAACCCAATTTTTTCGCTACCGCGAAAAAGAGCAACGAAAATAAGAAAACGTGCAAGCGAAACATGAAAAAGTGCAAATTTCGCACTTTGCACGGGAAGAACACTTTTTATTTGAACCATCCCCTACACACACACACACACACACACACACACATATATATATATATAGTGAGAGAGAGAGGGAGAGACTAATGTTCCTGTCAGTCCAGACGGATCAGAACTGCCTTGCGGCCGACACCATTTGAGGGACTTCTCCCGGTCGAAATGTTTGATATAATTTTGTGATCATGTTCTTCATGAAATGTATATTATCTCCACAAAATTTCAGCTTAAAACTCAATCGAGATGTCAGTTCAATAAATTATTAAAACATACTCCGCCAAAATGTGAATAAAAACGCAATGTTTTCCAACCATTTATTTAACTGAGCTTAAATTTTGTGGAGATAATTTACACTTCATGAAGACCATGCACACAAAGTTTCATTAAAAAATTCACCGAGA